GAGGATTTTATCTATAATGTTTTATGTAGAAAAGAAATAATTAAGCAAACATGCTAGAACATTCAATTTCCTGCATTAAAACATTTTTTTAAAACAGAGAGAGGTCCATCTGGCAGTGCTGTGAGGACGGGAGGGAGAGACTGCGAGAAGGAACCTGCGCAGCTCCTCCCGGATGGAGCAGAGCGGACGCAGAGCGTGGGCAGCCCAGAGGGTAAAACAGACAGGAAATGCCCACCTGAGGTGCAGTCCTGACCTCTTGTCTCGTGTCCCGGGAGGACTTGCAGCTCTGCCTTGTCCAGAACTGGCCACCGTTTCGATCTGGCTTGACTTCTAGGTCTCAGCATCGTTCACGATCCCCGGATGCCAGTACCATCCTTAGACACCTGCTAAACAAGGGGCAGAAACAGGAAGCTTGCAGAGTACTGGGATGCTTGGCATCGTATATTCAGAGTAAAGATGGTGTGTGCGCACACACACGCATGCACACACGTGTGACTGCATGTGCAAAGCCAAAGAACACAGTGAAAGCACGTCTTCTAGAAGGGAGTTTGCAGTAGATACCATGAGTGGAGCATGCTTATGGGAAGGAACATTCTTACACACGTCACAGAAGTAAAAATGAACCTTTTCAGAAGGAATCCATTTCTACACTCCTTCTCCTACAGGTCTCAGTCCCCTCTCCTACAGAATAAACATGCGTTCCTCGACGTGTGTTTATGTGACTGGGCTAGAGCCACTGCCGGAAAGAGCACCAACACATTTGTGTCTGCACTTCCCTGGCTGAGCTCCTTCTTGCTTTCACCCCAGCTTGGATTCACCCAGCAAAGGAGAGCTGCGGACTTTTCTGCAATTACATGCATATTTCGTAATGTATGTGTGTCCTAGGAGAAATGCATCTGTCTGATGCACACAGCCTTACTCAAGCAAACCCCTCATGCACATTAAGAATGAAGGTGTGGCCGAAGCCGGTTTGGCTCAGTGGATGGAGCGTCGGCCTGCGGACTGAGGGGTCCCAGGTTCGATTCCGGTCAAGGGCATGTGCCTGGGTTGCGGGCACATCCCCAGTGGGAGATGTGCAGGAGGCAGCTGATCGATGTTTCTCTCTCATCGATGTTTCTGACTCTCTGTCTCTCTCCCTTCCTCTCTGTGGAAAATCAATAAAATATATTTAAAAAAAAAAAGAATGAAGGTGTGGCCTGGCCAGTGTGGCTCAGCGGTGGAGCATCGACCCAGGAACCCAGGTTGCGGGCTCGATCCCGAGCAGGGGGTGTGCAGGAGGCAGCCGATGTGATGTTTCTCTCTCTAAAAATCAATAAAAAAAATTTTTTTTAAAAAAATCAAGGTGTGTGTAGGCACTTATTAATAATATGTAAATTATTATTCTCTGGGGACCACATGGTCTTTAACATATAGAGCCAGGAGAACAAAAAGACACTCCTCTCTTACACACACACACACACCCCACACACACCCCACACACCTCCCCACTATAATTATAATTACCATGCTGGCTTCCAGATTAGGGGTTAGCAGACTTGGCATGAAGACGCCTGAAAGACACCCAAGGCAATTAGTGGTGTCCCTCCCCCCCACACACATACTTTCAGGGCCTTTGCACTTGCTGTTCCACCTCCTGGCATGTGCACCCCACCCCCCAACCCCCCGGTCCTGAGTGGCTCTCTTCCTCACTGCACGTAGGTCTCAGCTTAAATGCCACCTCCTCAGAGAGGCCTGGCCTGGCTCACCAGCTTTCTTTTGCTTTACACAACTTTGCATTCCTGGGCTCTGCATTTCTTTATCTGTCTGACATCCGCCTCCCTGCTGGCACAGACCACGAGCTGCACGAGGCTCCACAACCACAACCACCCTCTTGGAGCCTCGGGTGGAGCCTGGCATACAGCTGGCACTCAGTCAGTATTAGTGGAATGATGAATGCTTACCCTTCTCTTCCTCCCCATGTCCATCCGCTCTTTCCTCCTACTTCCTCTCCTGCCCCCATCCATCCTGCCTCCACCTGAAGCAGGAAGTTGTTAGGAAAATGAGGGTTGTCGCTGGCCCGCTCTCCTCCATCTCCCGTTCCTGCTCTCCCTCACGGGCACCTCTCTCCCACCTGCAGCTGCCCTCTGCCAGCTCTGGCCCTCTGGGTGCACCCCAGATGACTGTAGGGAAATTGGGAATCTCAGGGGAGAAAGGTTGTAAGAAAATCAGGGTTCAGTCTCCAAAGCAGCCCGTCATTCGAGGCCCCTTTCAGCTCCCACGACCCAGCGTCTCCTCTTTCCCATGGGAGTCGATGCCACCATGATGGGACTCAGCCCCTCCCGCCTTTTCACTCTGTGCTTCCTCTCTCCAGCCCTGACTGACAGTATCCAACTCTACCCCCAACCCACCTCCTCTCCTTCCTGGCTTCCGCTGCTTCCTTGTGTAATAAACTCGGATAGAGAGCGCCCGCGGCGTGCCAGGTCCCGTGCCGGCACTGCCCCACCCCTGGCGTGGGATCCCCTTGCTCCTTCTCTTCGCTGCCCCTTCTGTCACCCCCTCGATCTTCGGCACGCCTGTGGCAAATGATCATACAGTCCACAGCGGCACCTGGTGCCCTCCTTTTCCACTTGTCTCCCAGCAAGATGATAAATTGCTTGAGGGTGGGAGCTGCGTCTTATCCTCAGAGACCCAGTAGAAGCTGATCCAGGCAAACAGCCTTCTTTCATAGAGGTCAGACCGCCCCCCAACCCCCGCCACTTCCACCTTCATCCATACATCCTATTCCATTCCATCTGCCTAATCTCGAGAGAGAAGAGATCCTAAATGGGTTGAACAACAGCTATGCAACCACAATGCATGTGAGGCGCCTGCCGTAGACTGGGTATTGGTGGGCAGCGACAGACCAGAGTCCCTGCTCTCCAGAACCCCGCCCCTCCCAGCTGAGCCTGTCAAAGTCTGCTCCGTTTCTGAAAGGCGCCAGGCTCATAGACCCCATGTAGGTAGAATATAACTTTCCATAAATAACCTCTAGCCTGACCTACAATTTAGCCTTTGAGGTTTTTTTCTCCCCTCGTGGTAATGGGATTGTAGCCTGGGCTGATCCCTCCTGGATCTGCAGGTCCCAGAAAGCAGACCCTAGGTGTATCTGGTGTGAGGCATTGCTTGGCATTCCTGGTCCCCCGCACTGCCTGGCGCGCAGGGAGGACTCGGTCCGTGTTGAGAAATGGTGGATTGAGTCTTGTCCACTACAAGCAGCCACACATCTTCAGCCCCAGGGCCTTTGCTTGGGCTGTGTCTCCGCCTAGAATGTCTGTGCTCCCTTCTCCACCTGGTGAGCCTCTAAACAGCACCCACCTCTGGGAACCTTTCCCTAAACGTTATCCCTTGTCCCCACCACAGGGCCAAGTACTCCCGTCTTTGGTACCATAACACTTTGTACACAACAGTGTGACCTGATCATTTGCCCGCATGCCCACCAGGCTCTGAGCAGCTTGAATGAGTGTCAGGGCAGGGAATTGAGTTCATATCCAGCAAAATATTTAACCCTTTGGTGCCTCAGTTTCCTCAGATTCAAACACAAACATGGCTCCAGAGCCCGTGTTTCAGCCATTGGACCACATTGCCTCTGGGAGCTGGATAATGTACCCATTTCCTACCTGCTCTTGTGTTCCGGGCTCTGGGGCAGCCCTCACAGAGTATAGATCCCCTGCAGGGTCTCACTGAGGCCTCCTGAGGCCTGGAGGCAGAAACACACAATGACGCCTACCATAGACTTGTTGATGATGATAATGGATTTGGGAGGGTTCATTGGGAGTTAAAATGGTAAGTCACCAGGGCAGACCTCAGCTTACTTTGGGGGGTAAGGTGGGCTCTTAGGGTGGGGTTACCCCAAGATGGGCTGGACTTGATTTAAAGCTTTGCAATTGATTGACCCTCCTTATGGCAACTGAAGAGTACTTCCTGAGTCTCAGCTAGCATCAGCACTATGAGAGAAGTGCGAGACGTCCCTGCTGATATATTTACTAGAGAGGCATGAAGTTCCTGTTTGGGAAGAAGCTTGGCTGAGCTCCCAGTGAGCTGGTCCTGAATGGGACATGGCTTTGTGTCCATCCCAGTGCTAAGCAGGGCGTGGCCAGATGAGGCAGGTGGTCCATGAATGGTCAAATGAAAGACACAGAATCAGAGGCATGGACAAAAGGGGCTGGACATCTGAGGAGAGAAGGATCGGTGGGGACTGAAACATCTCTGGGAGGTTCAGGGAAGAGATGACAAGGAACATGATCCCAGTAGAAAAAGCAGGAGTTGTTGGGGTGGGGGCAGGTGGCAAGCTAAGGAGGTAGGGATCATCAATACAGCATGTGGCACTTGGAGTCATGAAGGAAGCTTGGTGGAGTGGGGGATGGGACTCAAGCAGGCAAAGCCTTATATGCCAGACTGAGAAGCCTGAACTTGGCCCTGGGAAGGAGGAGCTGTTAAGGAATTTTGAGCAAGGCTGTGACAGGATGAGAACAGTGTTTTTGGAGCAGTGTGAAGGGCAGGCTGTTTGAGGGAGATGAGGCTGAGGGTATTACAATGGCCGAGTGGAGGAATGAGGTCTAGGTTTGGGAAGGGCCGAACATGACTTTTCAAAGGAAGGTAATTGCCACCAGGGCCACCATAGCTCAGCCAAACGTCTCACAGCACCCGAGAGAAGGATGTTAACTTTGACAGAAATGACTGTGTGTGGTTGACAAATTGAGACCACACATCCTCTCCATAACGACTCATTGTCTTTATTAACAATGCCTCTGGACTCTGAAAGAACAGACGGGTATTTCATAAAGCAATATTAACATTGTCATCCTCTACAAGAAAAACTTTTGCATAAATAACTTAAGTGAGAAAATAAATATGTAACTTAACTCTTTTTAAAAACCACAACTTTCATTCCTGTGGACAAATCCCACATGAAAGATTGCAAAAAAAATGACCAGCCCAGCAGGCTTTCACATGGCATGTGCTTCTGTTTAAAATAAAAAATTAACAATTACAAACTACACAGAAAGTAAGAGGTGTCTGAAAATGATTTTCAAAAAGATTTTTGAATGGCAGCTATTGGCTTAGTGATTTCTCAGCGTATGTACAGCACTTGTCATTTCCCCCCAATAATATTATTTTAATGTAAGATATGCCATCCCATGAAACAGCAGTAAAAAGCAATTTTCTAGACAAAAATGTGTCCGTGAGTGGTAGGCAGGAGGCGGGGACTCAGAAGGGATTTGCTGGTCTTTGAAAGGGCGGGGGCTACTCCTTTGGGCCTGCAAGCCCAGTGTCCTGGGACCTTGAGCTTCTTTACAGAAGGTGACTTTAAAAGATGGCCATGGGGGGGAGGGTGCTGCTCTTTGGGAATAGGAGGGTGATTTCTGTCCCTCCGGCACCCTGGGGACCTACTCCTCTACCCCAGTTTGATGGCATTTCTGCACCCTTTGCGATGGAGGGGCGGAGGTAGCCAACCACCTGGGGAGGCAGGGCTGGGAGACAGCTCAGCATCTTTCAGGAGTTTGGCAGCCAGAAACGGGCCCTTCTTTTCCCTGCTAGTTTTTCATCTTTGGCTGTCAGGTCAGAAAATTACAACTCGGGGTTCTGGACATGACCAGGCAGGGATTCAAGCCAACCTCTCTCTTCCTGCTCATTTGAAAGCCATCCAAGTCCCTGGAATCATGGCAGTAGATTCCTTGAGATCCTAATCCCAACCCCACCTGCATTTTACAAATAGGAAGTCAAGGTTCAGAAAAAGAAGAGTGTAGCCCAAGGTCACCCAGAAAGGGAGTGGCAGAACCAGGACTAGAACCCTAAGAACCCAAGTCCTGTGCTCTTGGCACGGCATGGCACTGTGTGTCTGATGGGCAGACGCGGGGGATCTTACTGACCTTTCATAACCAGTCCCCAGACTTCTCTCACTCCCCACCGCTCCCTAAACCACAGGGCTTCCTTTTCTGCCTGCTCGGAAGTAGGACCTGCAAAGGTAGGTGGCCCCGGTGGGCGGGGTTGCATGGCTCAGTGTCCCTGACTCTCAGCTCCCTCGCCTGCCCTGAGGGACCCCCTCGGAGGGCGGGGAGTGTGGGGCTTTGCTGGCAGCCGGGATCCACCGGGCCTAGCTACCTCCTGCGCAGCCAGACAGGTCTGAGCCCCCTGCCCTGGGTTGCAGGCATTTAAAATGAAATACAAACAATCAGACCGCGCGCAGAGGGCAGAAGCCTGGGGCGCCTGGTTCCGGGGCGCCCGCTGGGGAGGCGCGGCGGGCGGCTGGCTCTAATAGGCGTTCTCCAGCTCCGCCTGGTTGGCTTTGGCGCCCCGGGCGCGGGGCCGCAGCTTCCGGCCCTTCTGCGGCCGCGCGGCCTCCGGCCCGAAGTCCTTGAGCTCCGACTGGTTGTGGGAGCGGGTGAGGCGCTTGCACTTGCACGAGGCCACCAGGCGCACCTTGCGCGCGCGGGGCGCCGCGCCGCCGGGACACAGCAGCTGCACCCGCTGCGCGCGGTAGCGGTCGGGGATGCAGCGGAAGTCGGGCCCGTTCGGGCGCCACCACTTGCCGCGGCTGATCGCGTTGGGCAGCAGGCGCGCCGGGCCGCACTGGCCGGAGCACACCAGCTCGGTGACCGGCTTGGCGCTGCGGCAGGGCCCGTCGGTCACGTAGCGGGTGAAGTGCAGCTCGCGGCAGCTGTATTCGGACACGTCTGCGGAGAGAGCGCACTGTGAGGTCGGAGGCCGGCCCACCACGCCTCCCCGTCTGGCCAGCTCCCTCCACACCACCTCGCCTTTCCCAAACCTGCCTCTCCAGACGCTTTTGCCCCTGGACATCTATTATGGGAAGGGCCGGGCTGGTGGTAAGATTTCCCCTAAAACTTTGGAGCCAATTTCTTTCTTTTTTTTTCTTTTTTTGCTACGGTTCAAATACCAGCTCCATCACTGTGTGATCTTGGGGAAACGACTTCACCTCTCTGTGCTAGCTGAGGATTCAGTGAGTGAATCCGTCACATATATACTGCAGGGGACACCACCAAGCACACAGTAAGAGCTGGAAGTGTTGGCTGGCTGTTATGTGTTATTATTTCTCTCCGAGGGGGGCCTCTTTGTTATACTTAAGTCACACCTATGCCACAGGGCCCCTGACCGTGGTAAGGCTGATACTAGTTGCACAATTTGCATGCCTCTGGCTTCTCCCAAATTCCTTTTCCAGACACTTGGGAGGGGCCTGAGGTGATGGCGAGAGGAGTAGGGTAGGGGTTAATTGAAGGTAATAAATCAGGGCAGCTGCGGAGGAGGAGAGGGATGGAAGGGAGGTGGAGAGGAGGAGAAGTCATTAGACTTGAAAGGAGCCAAAGGCAGCATGTCCAACCCCCTCCTTTTCACCGACAGACAGCACGGAAGCCCAGAGAGGGAAAAGCGCTGGCCCAAAAGGCAGAGCTGGATCTCCTGGCTCCACTTCCCTGGGGCCCAGCACCGCTTGGCTCTCACGTGGGTGGAAGCTGCGTGCCCAAGCTGGGCTTGGGGGGCAAGGGGGTGCTTTTTACTATAGTTACTTCCCTACCAGAGAGGGACCCAGCTCTGACGGAAAACCTACAGGTTCAGCTGCCACAAACATTGAAGTACCTGTTGGGTACCAGGTACTCTGCTGGGCACACCTCTTGTCTGTGCCATTTGAATGGACACCTGACAGTGGCCCAGGCTTGCTTTCTGGGTCGGGGGAGATTGTCCTCTGAGGCCTGACTTGGTCCCCTGAAGTCACCTTGATGATGTCTCCTATCGTGGGCTTAAATGGTGGGAGCTTTTTAAATAGCTGGTCCTCCTGTGAGCACCTGTCCATCCCAAGGGTCTCATGGGGACCATTCCATGTGACACCAAGGGATGAAAAATAGTCCTAAGACCACAACCAGAGATGGGGGCAGAGAAGGCCAGGCAGCCGCCCCCAGGCACGGAGAGCACGCGCAGCAGGGGGATGTGGGCTTGCCTTCCTCCTGTGGCCGGCCTCCTGGTTTCGGGGTTGGCTTGGCTTCCTCGTCCTGCTCCCAGGCTGCAGGGGTGGTGTGTGTGGGTGGCTTATTTGCCTAGGGAAGGAGGCTTTGGGGCTTTCCAAGAATAGTGCCCCATGGTCAGGTCCTTCCTCTGCAGAGGGTGACTTTGTTTGGGACAAGTGGCTCCCTTGGGGGCTTGTGGCCTCTCACGGGAGCCCAGGGAAGTGGTCACCTCATTCCTGGGTCCCCTTGCAGCCCAGTGGTTGGGAGGCAGGGAGGGGTGGGATGCAGGAGCCTGGGAAGTGGGCTCCTCTCCCACCTGGGCAATGGCCTGAGGGCAGTGAGGCCCTCACTCTGAAGTATCAGCCAGCCCCCGCCCCCAGCCATTCCTGCCAGCTGCAGAGCCAGCTGTGCACAGTGCCCCCACCCCCCAGGCTTCTCTGTGCAGACCTGACCAGGAACCCAGGTGTACCCTTCACCCGGGCCACTGACTTTTCGCTAGGGTCAGGCTCCCTCCCCAGGAATGGGCAAGGCTGGGTCTGAGGTGGGGACACAGGACGGATGCTGGGCTCAGTAGACACCTGTGTCTGCTCCCTGCACGGAGGATGCTGATGCTGCTTCCCCTCCGGGGCCTGGGCCCAGCAGCCACCCACACTAGAGGCTAAAACAGTGCCTACACTCCCATTCAAGGGCCAGCTCACGAAGCAGACCATGCACAGGGGGAGCTGATGAGGTGCCTCTCTGTTATCCCTTTCCCACTGCTCTGGGGGGATTTGCTCTGGCTTTTGATCCCCAAGACCCCACCCATCATCCCCCACCACGGCTGTCTTGGAATTGGATCAAACTGGGTCCAAATCTCAGTTCTTCTACTCACTACGAGACTACTTAACTTCTGGAACCCCTATTTCTTCACCTTCAAGCTGGGAGTTCACCTCATGGGGCTCCCACGTGGACGATCCTGGGCTATAGCACATGCACAGCCCACAGAGAGCGTCTGGCCTCCAGCAGGAGCTTATAGGTGTGAGGCTCCCTTGCCTTGTCCTGTCCCCAGTGATGCTGGCAGCTGGACTGACTCCTGAACCTCGGGAAGGGGTTCCTTAAACCTTCTCCTTTCCCAGCCTGCCCACCTCCATCCTGCCCCGGGGTCTCTGCCAGCCGGCTCCATTGGCATGCTATCCTTCCCTGCCTCTGGGCAAGACCGTCCCTCCACCCATTGCCAGCAGCACCTGAGGGTCCACCCCAGCCTTCAAACGTCCCAAAGAGAACCCTCCCCCTCAGAGGAGCCCTGTGCCACAGGTGCTCTCTGCCACCCCATACCTTTGGTCTCAAAGGGGTGGTGGGGAGGCCTCCCTCCGTTCTCGGCCCGGTTCATGGTCTTGTTGTTCTCCAGCTCTGGCGGCGGCTCGGGGTACTCGCCCAGCTCCGGGATGATTTCCGTGGCATCGTTCTTGAAGGCCGGCCACCCCTGGGCCTCCACCGCACGGAAGGCTGCGTGCACCAGCAGGCAGACGAGACACAGGGCGAGAGAGAGCTGCATGGTGCCAGCTGGAGGAGGGCACCTGGCCTTCCAGTAGCACGGGCTCCAGTCCCCAGCCCAGGCACGTTCGCCTTTTTAAAGCCCCCTCTGCCTCGTGCCAGCCAATGACAGGCTGGGGCAGGGCTGGCCCCACGCTTCCCTCAGCCCAGGGGGAGGGAACAGGGTGTGCTCAGAGCAAGCCCTCTCCAAAGACTTCTCCTCAAGGGCAGCAAACTCCCAAATTGCTGCCGGTGCTCCCGATGACTCAGAGAGAGGGGCACCTCCTCTGTGCGGGCGGCTGTGGTTGTCACTTATCAAAATGAGCCCCAGCTCTTCACCTCGACTTCCCTGGGCCCCCCGGGCTTTCTCAAAACAAACCTGGCACCAGCTTAACAAAGGAAACTGCAGTTCCGAGTCCTCCAGAGGGCTGAGCCCAGCCAATCCCATTTCTCAGGCCACACTGAGTGTCCTGGGACCCCTGAGTCAACGGAAACGCATTATCTGGAGCCACTGAGGCCGTTTAGAGTCATTGTGTTGTCATGGTCTCCAGGTGCAGAGGAATGTGTTTCGAAAGACCAGTAAGATCACTATCAATGGGGGTTTTCAAGCCACAGTCAATGGCTTATTCAATCAAATGGGATAACATATAAGTTCAGAAAATCAAAATAACTTTTCTATTACTTTAGCAAGCAAATAACGACGGAAGCCAAGTCAGCAGGGTTAAAATACTAAACGGGCATTTTTCCCCAAGCATGGTGGCTGCCATGCTTCACATGGTGACAGGCACTTTTTGGCCCAGACACTCCCTGTGGCTTGCAGGCTGACGTCCCGAAGGCAGTCATTTCCCCAGTCAGGCTGTGGGCAGGAGTGGAGAACACAAAACCCCTTTTCTTAGCAAAAGCCAAGGCCAACATTTTCAGTGTTGACATTTTTCCTTCCTTGTCTCCCAGCCCATTATATGTTTCAAAACCAGCTTTGCGTCCTCTCTGGGCGATCTTACGGGTGCCTACCACGGGGCGCACTCCATGAAGCCCTCCCAGGTCCGGCCAGCCACCAGCCACCGAGAATCCTGGAGCGGAATGAGGGCCTGGGAGGGGCAGAGGCGGGGAAGGAGGTTCACACCTGAGGTGCAGGAAAAGAAAGGAGCCCAGCGGAAGCTTTCATTGCAGATGGATTGAGGAGGCAGCCGCTCCTGGCCCTGGAGGAGCCCGGGAAGAGGGCCGCGGCTCCGGTCCCCTTGGTATTTTCACTGGGCCATGAATCAGCCTGCCCCACCTGCAGAGCATCTGCAGGGCCTCTGCCACCTGCCTCGACTTGTAAGTCGCCGCCGTGTCCATCTGCGGCCACCGGTCCCACCTCCTTTCCATCATCCATCACTCAACACATGAATGCAGCTGTTCTGACAGTTTTACAAGCCAGACAGAAGCCCCTGCAGGAAGGGCCCTCTCTGATACCTGCTTCCTTCGTCTTTCCTTCGGGGCAGACGAAAACAGCTGTGGCCATTGTTGGGGGTGATCTATCTCTCCCAACAGAGCCCGTGTGTTGTGAGAAGCTGGTCCTCCGTGCCCCCTCCCCTGTCTGTGACCCTCCAGCCTCCTTTTCCCTTCCTCTGGAATGTGAACCGTTAACCCTATGGTGGCCGGACACTGCCTTCTCGTCCTGGACTTGGGAGAGGGCCATTCTGATGCCCTGAGACCCTGAGCTGGCGGGATGGATGCTGGAGCCCCACCTGCTGTTGGAGGCGGCAGGCCCATCGCATGAGACGTGGTCACCATCCTTGGGACACTTCTGCCACCTGCCGGAGGTGGAAGGAGAAGCCAGCTACTGGAGGACGGCGAAGGTCAGGATTTTATTTCATTATTTTATTTGAAACTAATGTTTGAGAGAGAGAGAGAGAGAGAGAGAGAGAGAGAGAGAAGAATCCAGTGGACTCGAATCTCTAAATTATCCCCAAACTTTTGACGTGTTCTCTGCCAATGTAGAGCCATGATTTCTGCAGATTGGCTCAGAGACAACCCGGCTGTGATGCCATCTGCTGTTTGTTTTAAATCCTCACCGAGGATATTCTTTCCATTTATTTTTGTTTTGTTTTTGTTTTATTGATTTTCTACAGAGAGGAAGGGAGAGGGATAGAGAGTTAGAAACATCGATGAGAGAGAAACACCCATCAGCCGCCTCCTGCGCACCCCCTATTGGGGATGTGCCCGCAACCAAGGTACATGCCCTTGACCGGAATCAAACCTGGGACCCTTGAGTCCGCAGGCTGACGCTCTATCCACTGAGCCAAACCGGTTCTGGCTCCATTTATTTTTATAGAGATTGAGAGGGAGGGCAGGAGGGAGGGAGGGAGAGAGAGAGAGAGAGAGAGAGAGAGGAACATAAATGTGAGAGAGAACATTGATTGGTTGCCTTCCATATACGCCCTGCTGGGGATCGAATCTGCAACTTTTCAGCATATGAGACAATGCTCCAACCAACTGAGACACACTGGCCAGGGCACCATCTGCTTTTTTGCTTAACATCAACTCAACTTTATATTTACCCAGTCCACAAGCTTGTCGTTCAGAGCTAGACAACGCTGTGGGAGGCAAACCCCTAGGGTTTTAGCTGACTTCTGTTGTGGGTAGTTTAGGTTACATCCAATGTTCCCCTATTCTCGGTACAGGTGCTATGAACATCCTATACAAAGTAATTTTTCAAATTAAACTTTTAATTTTGAGATAATTGTAAATTTGCATGCACTTGTCAAGAATAATTTTTCTAGGATATACCTAATAGTGGCTTCCTCCTAGGAGAGGGATTGAAGGTTTGGGGTAGGAGAGTCACTTTTCATTATAAGCCTTTTGTATTGTTTGAAACGATTACTATGTATTACTTAAAATGTTTTAAAAATTATACTTAAAAAACACTTTTACCAGTTTTACATCTTAGTGCTCTGCCTTAAGATTTTGTGTAAAAATATAAAGGTTATGTTGCCACAGCGGTCTGACAAATAATGAGTTCGCCTAAGTGCCTCTAAGCGAAGACTAGAGAGGCTCTTTTGCTGTCCAGACTTTGGGACTAAAGGCACCCAACTCTGAGTTGTTTATTCAGAGGGAAAAAGGCAGTGCTTATGGTAGGGGAGACCATGCCGATGGTGGGATTTAAAGCATCTGGGGTCGGGGATATGTTTGGGGACTGTCATTTGCAGGATAACAAATCCCAAAATGCCACCCAGTCATCTTCACATGAGGCCACCTTGAGACTGTCACCCCAACCCCTACTTCTTAGAACCATAAATCTTACCTCCCTCATTAGGGGTGGGCCTTTGCACTCAAGAACATTCCAGTCTATTATACCTCAATTAATCTGAATTTTTAAAATGAAATAAATAAAAAGACTTGCGAACACAGGACATTTCTGGTACTGGAAGGATGTTCAGCAAATGTCTACTGTATAATTATAATCAGCATGGAACCTATCACTAGCTCAGGAAGGCCAATTTTTAGGTGATTCTTTTTAAAAGTTAGAAAAGGCAAACAAAAGGTAAGCATAAAAGCAACCAACTGTGATAAGGACCGAAAAGAGACCATTTCTTGGTAATATAAGACATTTATTTTGGTTACAGTATTAGTATTTTAACACTGATTTGTGATATAACAGACATTAAACTTATTTTAAAAAAACAAACCATTTAATACCTTCCCCCTTTTCTGTCCAGAAAATTTGCTACTTTCACAATCAGGTTACCCTGAAAGCTGACAGGAGGGAAGGTAAGCTTCCGGCCAATCTGCTCTCTCCCCCGGAGACAGCCTCTAACCCAATCAGAATAAAATCTTGACTTGGAAGGACCATCATCGTTGGCTCTTCCGTGATACTTGACACCGGTTTTATAACAGGAAATCTCCTGCGAGAAAAGCTTATATCTTTATTATAAGATCAGTGCTTATTCTGATTAAAACATTAGCATCTTAACATTAACTTGTGACACAAAAGGCACCAACATTCATTTTCAAATCATCCCTCACCACGGGTGGAACGCAGCGCCACCTGGCGGTCACCATATTATGACAGACCCTCTAACTTTCAGGTGGTGGTCAATTCCAAGTGGGGATTCTTAGAAAACCCTCCTGTCAGAGTCCCCTTGTTTTGCAGATGCTGATTTATGCTCTCCAGGTAATTCAGAGTGGCAGGGAAACAGACCAGCCGGTGGCACGTGTACTGCTTTAGATAGAGGAGACGCTTGGTGCTCTAATTTGGGGGTCTGCTAGTCGAAGAAAGGGATCCGGTCAGGGGAGGGAGTGAGGGCACCCTGAGTTCCTAGTCCATCACTTCCCAGGGGTAAAGCTGCCCAGGAACAGCTTCCCCTCAGTGCTGGGCACGTGTTGACTCTTACACGATAGAATTTGATGTTACTTGACTCGAAGAACTAGGAGCTAAATCTTGTGAAGTAAATATGGGGGTTCTGAGCCTACAGACTGTCAAGAAATCCCAGTTATCAGCATAAAAGTAGTCCCAAAGTAAAGGCAATAATTCTCCCACTGACTTTTTCCCCTCAGGCCCCCATAAACAGGCCTTCAAGAGCTCCTAAGTCGCTGTGGCTGTCCTGTGGGGGGACCACTGCCTGGGCCCCATATCCGGAGCCTCTTCCAGAAGTGGAGCAGGAAGCTCTGGCTTAGGGAGGCTACATGTTTCCTGGAAGAAGAGTCACACATTCGAACCCAGTCTTTTACCTCCTGTTCCTGGACTACGGATGGCTTTGTGCCAACTTTGCCTCGACCTTCACTAGACCTCCCTTGGCACCACAGCTTGAATCGTTCTCTGTCCACAAAGCTAACTGGCCCTTGCACACATGGGCTGGGTCAAGGGCAGGTGCAGCACACCTGGACATGGCGGGGGGGGGGGGTAGGGTAGGGGGGCTCATTTCTTGAGGAGGAGTGTCGTATGAGAAGTATGAGAGAAAGAATTCAGCTTCAGGAAGCAGCAAACCTGAAATATTGCATCAATTCTGCCTTAAACTGGGCAATGTAGGGGGTCATGTCCTTAATCACCCTGAACCCCAGGACCCCAGCTCCTTTTTCTTTTAAGGTAACAATACATGAAGATCCACCAGCTAGGGTTATTGTGAGGATCAAGTTGGATTAAGTGGGAGGGTTATCTGAAAACTGAGGTACAGAGTTTAGAGGATGGCCATTTCACTTGGGTGGCTCTGTCTGGGCAGCCAGCATATCAGGGCTGCTGTGGTCACAGAGACAAGTGCAGCCCAGGCTGCGCAGTGCTGCCCCTGCTGGTCAGGCTGCACAGTGCTGCCCCTGCTGGTCAGGCTGCGCAGTGCTGCCCCTGCTGGTCAGGCTGCGCAGTGCTGCCCCGCTGAGACAGAGACCTTGCCACCTGCGAGTGAGTTCCAAAGGCACGCCTGCTTCTCCTTGTCCTGGCGGAAAGCTCCTGGTCGACTGAGAAAGGCACATTCCACACCTCCACGTGGTAACACCGCCTGGATTTGAACTTAAAACAACTTTAAATATTCAACAAAAGTCCCTGATATTTCGCTTCAGGCAAGACTCCTTTGCAAATCTTTGCAAGTGATCCTACCACAAATTCAGGATTCTGGGAGCTTGGTACACCCACCAGAACAATGCCCTACCTATATTTGGTGCTCAAAAAAACACACACGTTTAATTCCACGGACTTCTAACAGACACCTGTGTGCTAGGTGTTGGGGGCATGGCTGTTGGGGAACCTGTACACAGCACTGTATCACTTTCCATGACGACAATCATGCAAAGTTCTAACAAGACTGTTGAAAATAAAATCCTATATTCTGACAAACGTGCGCACGCATGTGTGAGCTAGTGCATTCCTAAAAAAAAGTTGTTTCTTGTTGTTTGTTTGCTTGCTTGCTCTACCACCGATAAAGGCTCCATTTGGACGCTCCGTCATGCTTCATTTCTGCGTGGCTGAGTCATTTTTGCTCCAAAGGGCCAGTGTCTTTTCTGGCACCAGAGAGCCATAAGAACGACCTGTACGTGGGCAGGGCGTGAGCCGGGGACCGTTCATCTCCGTGCTCGTCCGTCCTTTGGCTGTGTTTCTGAGACCCCCCCGCCACACACACACCCATACACACACACACACACAAACTGTAATTGGCCAACTTCCTCCTCCTGTTCTTAGAATAGCAACCGAGACAAAAAGCAGCTAGCACGAGTGGCTTGGGCTCGCCAACACTATAATTCAGGACAAAACCCTTGTAATTCTCCAAATGGTGGGGTTTTTAAATAGGCTGGACTTCAACACCCTGTTTTCTAAAAAAGAAAAATAAACCATGCCCAAGGCATCGCTCTTCTAACAAACCAAGTGACTGCGAGCAGGCCCAGGGAACTATCCCCGTGGATTCGGACCTCGAGCCTCCCAAGGGTTCGCATGTTAGAAACTGCTGATTCGGGAGAGACCTCGGGGGGGAACTGTTTGCCCGCCTGAGGGCCTCTTTGTCTGTCTAGGCATCTTTAATCCTAAGGGAGCAATTCAAATGTGGTCTCTTCGCGGGAATTTCACCCATTAACAACTGACGGCTCCCCCACGCCAGCTTCAGACTTCACGGAGCGCCTCTGCCTGCAAGCAGGGGATGGGCGGCTGCAAGGAGCCAAGGGGAGACAGACATGGGGGTGAAGGGGCCCCGAGTTTGCATAGTTCCTTTACAAGGCTCGAGGTGCTACAGTCCCCACTCAGGACAGGACCCAGGGGTAAGGAGTCGGGGAGGCCAGGAGGGCCCTGTGAGCGTCTCAGGCCTCACACGTCCACAGACCTGCCCCGGCTCCTCCAGAAGCAGGCATGTCGCAGGTCTTCCCCCTCCGCGACCCCACCTCAGGGCGAGGACACCATAAATCGCAGGCACAGGACACACCAGGGAGCAAGACTGTCCCTCAGCAAGCTTCTTTATGTTCCCCAGGGGGAGAGAGGCCCGGGGCGGTGTTGGGACAGATTTGTGGGCAAGTGCCTGGTGATGCTGGGAGCAGGGTACATTGTTTCCTAAACGTGGCAGCTACGGACACCCCGGCCAGGGCTCCCCCTGTCCAACCTCTAGAGAGGAGGCGGTGGGGTGCCCTAGAGTTTCAACTTCCCCTCCCTGACTAGTCTGTCATTGAGCTGGCAGAGCTGGGCCAGGAAACCGTCATTGGGGCCGATCTCACGGTTCTGTCTCACGATGCTCAGGGCAGACTTGACATCCATCTTCTGACGCATCATGAGGTATGCGATCACTAGAGTTGGGGAGCGGCTATAACCTTCACGGCAGTGGACCAGCACACGGCCTGTAAGAAAGGGGGTGACACGGTGAGCTGGGGCTATCCACTCACACCATGACTCCAGTCAAAACTCTCCCAGCAGATGCAAATGACAAGTACAAGGCGAGGCCATTCTGTGCCCACCAGGATAGCTAAAATGAGGAAGACAGAAAACACGAAGTGTCCGTGAGGATGCGGAGCAGCCAGGACTCCGACATGTGGCTGGGGAGGGGGTGCAAGCTGGCACATCACTTTGGGAAACTGAGAAGCGGTATCTACTCAAGCGGAACCCATGCCGCCCCTATGGCCCAGCAATTCCGCCCCAGATCCATGCCCAGCAGGAACGCGCGCACCCACGTTCACCAAAAGACATGCACCAGAACGCTCATTCACAATAGTCCCAGTGTGGGGACTCCCAAAGGCTCATCAATGGCAGAATGGATAAAGAACAAGAATGTACAATCTCCCAAGCATGTCAGACTCGCGGCCGGCGGGCCACATGTTTGACATGCTGAAGTTATCAGAAACCACGTGGATGAAACACACCAATAGGATGTGTATGATGCCACAGATTAGGGGAGCAGCCTGACTGATGTGTGCTGTTAGAAGACGAGACAGTGGTGAAGAGTTAGGAGCAGAGGGGTTTAAGACTGGACACGTGATAGACTTTCTGGGGTGCTGGTTGTGTTATTACCTCTTGACCCGGGGGTTGGTACATGGGTGTGTGCAGTGCCCTGATTTACATACTCGTGACATGACCACTTCTCCATATGAATCTTGTATTTCAGTCCAAAGCAAAACATGGAAACAACCTGAATGTCCATCAACAGGTGAATGGATAAACAAATTGTGCTACATCTATATGACCAAATAGTCCTCAGCATTAAAAAGGATGGACTATTGACCCTCAACAACATGGATGAAACACAAAGTACTTATGCCGAGTGAAGGAGGCCAGACCAAAAAGGCATGCATGCTATGTGATTCCATTTATATAAAAATCTACTGAATGTCCCGGTGTCTGGTGATAGAAAGCAGATCAGTGGTTGCTTAGGAATGGAGGGAACAGAGGGCGGAAGGGAGAGGTCACAAAGAGACAGAGGAAAATTTGGGGGGTGATGGATATGCTCACTATCTTGGTTGTGGTGACGGTTTCACAAGTGTATACACGTGTCAAAACTTGCCAAATTACACTACGCGTAGTTTATTCAATGTCAGTTATACCTCAACAAAGCAGTTTAAAAATAAAAGGAACCCAACTCTCAAATGCAAAAACAAACCAAGACAAATCAAACACACCATTTCATGGCGCCCCAAATGGCCCACAATGCCTTGCAGCATCTGGCCCCCACCTGGCATGGTTATCTCCTCCTCTCCCTCTTCTATTCCTAGCACCCTGTCCCCAAAACACAGCTCTATTTTCCCACTGCCTCCCAAAGCAGGAGGGGGAGTCCTCCACTTTCCTGCCCATTCTCTCTCCGGCCAGCGGACCCTAAGTCCTCAGAGTGGGGCTTTCCCTGCCCCAGCCCTGGTCACGGGACCAGTTGCAGAACAGCTGCCTCACCACCTGGAACACTCAGCATAGCCAGGGCTCACAGGGCCAATGTGAAGAGGAGGGTTCAAAGCCCATCCTTCCAGGCCGCCCAAACGCCACCTCCTCAGGGAAGCCTCCCTTGATCATCGGGGCTGCAAGTGACTGTTCCCTCCTGAGCACCCCTGGCCGTCTCCCTAACTCTCCAAAGTGATGGGCCCCTGACTCTCCCGAGCCCTGTACACTGTGGGAGGACAGTGAGTTTCTGTTGACCCACTTGGCCAATCTCAGAAGCATTGACAGCTGGCATTAGAGCCCACGGAATTCATTTCGGTCACTTATTCAGTCATCACTTGGTGTCCCTGCTATGTGCCCAACGCTACGTCAGGTGCTGCGGAGACAGACAAGCGACACAGTGGACCCAGCCTGAGGGCAGGTGTCATGGAGGAGAGGACACAGGCCCAGCACTACAGCTCGCAGTAGGGTTTGCCAGAGGACAGCGTCAGGAGAGGCAGGGAGAACTTTCCAGACTGATGACCTAGGCCCGTGGTCGGCAAACTGCGGCTCGGCAAACGTGGCTCGAGAGCCACATGCGGCTCTTTGGCCCCTTGAGTGTGGCTCTTCCACAAAATACCGACTTCTGCGCATGGGCCACGAAGTTCAATCGCACTGTACGTGCGCGCCCATACGTGGTATTTTGTGGAAGAGCCACACTCAAGGGCCAAAGAGCCGCATGTGCCGAGCCGCAGTTTGCCAACCACTGACCTAGGCCGTGTGAGCTAAGGCCGGTGATCACAAAAAGGTGGGGTATGTTCCCAGTTGTATGAAAAGAGGAAACAAAGTCGGAGGACTCTAAGTTCCCCGAGTGGGTGCCTCACCAACACACAAGAGCAACATCCATCCCCTTCACTGGGACCCTTGTTCTCACCCACACAGGAGCTCGGAACAGCGGGAGTGGAGGGGGACACACATGCAGGGCCATGACGACCGTGAAAGGCCTGATGGTAAGTGGGCAGATTCCCCAGGCGCTCAAACTTCCCTCCTGGGCCCCGACCATGAGATAACCAGCGTCTAGAGAACTCTGTTCACTGGCAATCATTTCAGTGGGGAAGCTGCTGGCCCCAGAAGCATCCGTGTAGCAGAGGCAGGCTAGCATCAGGGGGACAGGGTTGGTCAAACCTCAATGGGGCTCCCTTCCCCTGGGTAGTTTTGGGGTGGGGAGGAAGGACGAGGCTGGAGGCAGCATGAAGGCAAAGACAGCTGCTGAGAGAAACAGCTGAAAGCAGAAAGGGCGAGTGGCCCGGCCCACTCAGCAGATAGCTGCCCCTGGCCTTCTAGGATTTCTCTCGGGCGTGCCTTGCCCAGCTGCCAGCGCCTCAGCAGGTCTGCTTCAGTCTTACCTTACGCTTGGGAGCTGCAGGAGGCATTTAAAATCTGACTTGAAGATTTGGCGTGTGGGCTGCAGTGTGCTGACCCCCAGCCTCAGCCAATCATGGCTGCCCCTTTCCCTTGGGAGGTACTCACATCACCCAACTCTAGCCAGTGAGATGTGCGGGAAATCGCACTGGAGGATTTCTGGGGAATGTTTTATTTGCTCTTAAAAAATGAGAGAAGCCCGGCTGGTGTGGCTCAGTGGCTGAGCATCGACCTATGAACCAGGAGGTCATGGTTCAATCCCCGGTCAGGGCACCTGGCCAGGTTGTGGGCTCGATCCCCAGTGGGGGGCGTGCAGGAGGCAGCTGATCAATAATTCTCTCTCATCATTGATGTTTCCATCTCTCTCTCCCTCTGAAATCAATTTAAAAAACATTTGTTTTAAATGAGAGAAACACAAGGAAGTGATGGCTGCTGCATCCTTTGCTGTGTTTTGTCCTGTTGGGAAGTGGCAGCCAGAAAGCTGCAGCATCTTGGGACCCTTAGGGAGTGCCCAACACTGAGGGTGGCAGGAGAGAGAGAGGGAAAGCACCTAGTCTGATGCCACCATGGAGCTTCGGAATCAACCAGCCTGGAGCTCCGGCACCTCAGCACTTCTTATCCTGGGAACTGAAACTTCATTACGGAAGCTCTTTGAATTGGGCGGGGGGAGGGAGGGAGAAGGGAGGGGCGGTGCTGGAAATGAACCCTCCGTCAAAGTCAAATCAAACACGAGGACCCTGAGGCTGCCACTGTGTGAAAGGTTTGTACATCTCGTGTCACGTGGGGACACTTGACAGACTTAAAGCTCTCAGTCATTCATCACAGGGGACAGGAAACAACAGGTTTGCCAAGAAAAAGTCCAGTCAAAGCTGCCCCCCTTTGGGGAGACAATAAGGGACATCTGTAATACTTTCAAACAATGCAGATAAATTAAAAATAAAAAAAGCTGCCTCCCATGGTTTCCTGGGGGGCAGGTTCCTTACCATTGTTTTGAGCCAAGGCCTGGTCAATGAAGTCTGCAGCCCTTTCAAAGTAGACGCTAAGGTTGAACTCTTGTGTGTCATTGGCCTTGATGCCCAGGTAGGTGATGCCAGAGTCCTTGTAGAAGTTGGCATTGGTGTTGACGTGCATGAAGGACCTGCCCTCAGCAGCATTCAGGACGTGGGTGATGCCCAGTTTCTGCAGCTTTGGGATGTCTTGAGCCACAGACCTAGACAGGGGACATCGACAGGGGATGCTTAACGGACCAACTGGCAATCCCAGGGGGAGGAAGATGGAGAAGATGCTAAGCCTCTTGGCAAAGCAAGACACCCTCCGTGCTCTGGTCCTGCCAGAGCTTCTCCTCATCTGATGCCCCTCGTCCCTCACCCCAGCGATATCTCATTACCAGTAGCTGCCCCAAATAGACTGGGTTCATGCCTGAGCTGTTCTGCTTAGAATGCCCTTCTGCATGGACATGCACCCTCTGGTTTTTCACCACTCTCTGCAGTACCAGTATTTCTTGATTTCCTCCCTTCCATTTGGCCTCATGCTCCCTATACTGTGGTGGTGGTGGTATAGCCAAGTGGCTAAGAATGGGCTCTGGAGCCAGACTGCCTGAGTCTGAATCCAGCCAGTCCTGCCACTTACCAGCCAGGCAACACTGAGCAAGTCACTTAACCTTTCTGTGACTCGGTTTCCCAGTCTGTAAAATGGGGATGACCCCTGGGATTTGTGAATGCTAAATGAGGTCTATTCTATTCTATAGACAGAGCCAGACACTGAATCAGTCCTCCTATTCTAACACCTGACTGTGCTCATTTGTTTAATGTCCAGGCAGAGAGCTCTGTGACGGAAGAACCATATCTGCTTCAGGTCTGTATGCCCAGCACCTGCTATGGTCCCTGGCACCGAGTAGCCGCTGTGGCACATCCGTGAAGAAGAATGATCTCAGCATATCCCGGGCTGCCTTCTTCCTTGGATGGCAGCCTCCTCCCACCCCCCAGAGGGGTCCTTCCTGCCACAGGCCACTAGCCACGTTGCTGATGCTTTCCAGGGTGAGGCCACAGGCCACTAGCCACGTTGCTGATGCTTTCCAGGGTGAGTAAACACTTTGGGAGCAATGGCCCCAACAGGACTTACGGGGGTTACAACACATGTGATCTGAATAGTCAAAGGGCTCCTTTATTTCATCTCACAACAACATCCCAATTCAAACAGCCTTTCATATGTTACCAAACGCCTTGTCCTACAGGATCTGGTTTGCCTGTCACAGCGTCAGCCCTGTGAGGAAGGAAGGATAGCGCTTCAACTCCGGCCTGACAGGACAGCAGACGGGTGCGCGTGTGCTCACATGGGCTGCTGAGCAGCGAAGCTGGGGGAGACCTCCTTTCTCCTGACACCAGCTGAGCTGCTGTCTTCCCCCTCTCATGCCCACATCATTGCAAATCCCGACACCCGGAAAACATGGCTCATCCAGGCTCCTCTTTGCCCTCTGAGCCCTGATCAGGAGCCCTGGTTTTGTTAAGGGGCTCCCGATGGCTGGGGGAACACTAGGGACTCAGTCAATCCTCTCTGCCAGGCGCCCAACACACCCTTGGCTAAGTCAAGGTCAGATTTGCTTAGAGGGCAAGGAGTGTGTTTTCTACAGTGGCCGTCAGCACTAGCCACTCTGGCTGCCACTAGACGTTCACAATCTCCGTTTCCAGTTGGGAAGTGGTGACAACTGAACGTGCCAAACTGCCCGAGAGATCAAGGTTTCCGAGGGTGCCAAGGCCGCTTGCGGCTTGGGTGGCTGGGAGGCGGTCCTCCTCAGAACCTGGCCATTACTAAAGCCCTAGGGCTCTGTTTGATCTGTCCCTACTCCTGGCACTTTATGCGATGGTGAAGCAGTGGCTCAATACAAACACACACTAAAATAACTGTGAAGAGTCACTATCATCCATCTCCTTTCCCTAATTCTAATTCAACATTCAATAGCCTTACCATTATCATTACTATCACTACTATGAACCAACACTGTACACTGCCTGACACACAGGCACTCATATCGTGAGTGAATGATGCAATGAATGAGGCTGGGACCTGCCTTATGGACCCCTTCAAGCTCCAAGATGACCCCCATTTCTGCGGCAGTTCTTGGCATCAAGCCCTAGTCCAGGACCCAGAAGATACTGACATGAGAAAGACACTGACCCTGTCCTCACACTCCCTCAACCACTTGCTTGGTTGCCACTCTGTGTGTGTGTGTAAAACAAGAGAAGGGGAGGAGTTCTGGGTTTCTAAAATGCAGCCCCCGGGCCCATGGTTCTCAGGGCATTGGTAACCTCAGGGTCTTCTGAAAGCCCAGCCTGAGCCTCCGAACGCTGTACAGGCTTGGCAATCTGGCCTTTACCTTGGGCTGCTATTTCAGCCCCTCTCACAACGGTTAACACTGGTTCTCTCCTGCTGCTGAGAATTTCTTACTAGGAACTTGGCTAGCAGAAAATGGGAAAATCAATTTAAGAACTCGCAAGTGATAAATAATGCATTTCCTGGTGGTGAGAAGGTGGAAAGCCTTTTCTAAGGGATGGCTCAGGTCTTTATGGGGTTTATCACTGGATCATTCTAGAATCCATGTAAATCACACCCTATCTGGAAGGTGGGAGAAGGAGGAAACCCTGGTCCAGCTCTCTGGATGCCCCCTCATTTGGGGTATTTCCATTCCTAGATCTGGACTTGCCCAACCGGGAAATGTTCCACGCCCGAATTGTGACGTCAGCCCGTTGCCATGGCAGCGAAGGCAGACATCCGCGGTGACCTCACTGCAGAACCAGGCAGCTGTCACATGACGCGCCGGCCTGAGTCCGGCCGGGCGACCGAGGCCACCTGTTAGTGAACATGGTAGCCCGACCCCACCCAAGGCCGAGTGCCCAGCGGGTGGCGGCTGCGGGCCGCACGTGGCGCTGGCCGAGCGGCCCCCCCGGGCTCTGCGCGCCCCCGGAAGGGAAGGACCACGCGGGGCCGGGGTGGGGACCAGCCCCTCCGCCCCCGGCGTGGGGGTGGGCGGCGACTCCAGCCCACGCCCAGCCCATGCCCAGCCCCGGCTCAGTCCCGGCTGCAGCTCGGATGGGGCGACCCCGCCCCGTCTCCCCCAACCCGCAGTCGCCCCCTCCCCAGCTCCCGGGTGGGCGATGCGCTCCGGGGAGGGCCCAGCGGGGCTGGGACTCGGAGCGGCGACTCACGCGTTGCCCACGTAGACCCTGGGAGTGACCTCGTTGCAGGGCTGGCTCGGGAGGCTGTAGCAGCCGCTGCCGTCCGAGAGCAGGTCGTTGAGATCTTGCACCGAGAGCTCGAACGGGCCCGACATGGCGGCGTCCGGGCCCTGCACGCCGGGGCGGCAACCAGCAAGGGGAGAGCGGCCTGGTCAGCTGGGCGGGAGCTCCCGAGCCCGGGCCCGCCCCTCCCCGCCCCTCCCCGCCCCGGAGGCGGGTCCGCCGGGCCCTGGAAGCCGCGGATCACCGGCGGCCACACGCGATCCGCCGCCGGGAAGGACGCGCGCCGCCCGGCACCCAGCGAACCTCAGGAAGCCCTCTGACTGTCCCCAGGGGCGGAAGCGCCACCACTCCCGCGTTTGGGCGGAGCGGGGCGGGGGGAGGCGGTCCCATCCCACCCGGTATCATCATAAACTGGGAAGCGCAGTAACGCCATCAGATCAAATGCGAGGCACAATAAACGTTCCTATGGACCGGGGTACACCCGAGTGTCGCTTATTTTTTCCGATTATCGGGGTTCCGCTTGTGCGCTCTGACTTCCTACTGCGCACCAGCAGCGTCGGCACCCCCAGGGGCCTGTGGGAGAGACTCCCTGCCCAGCTCAGGCCTCTGCGTGACAATGTGCGTTTTACAGGCCCTACGAAGCTTCAAGTTCCAGAAGCCCGATTCTGGGGCACATTTCTGTCAACATTCATTGAGCCTCAGCCTGGTGCCTACATCAAGGCCTGGGCTCTGTGCAGCCAGCCTTGGCGTTCTGCTTCTGGGGAATCATTTAATCTCTCCGAGCCTGTTGGCTGAGAAAAAGAAAAACGGGGATAATAATACTAGTTCCTAACTCCTAGCGCTGATTGGAAGATTAAAAGACATTTAAGGAAAGAGCCCGGCACTAACACGGAGCACTGAATAGGGGTTGGTGCTCCCTCTCCATCAGCAAATGTGTGAAGCACCCCTAGGTGCCACCCCCTGTGCTGGTGTGGAGATGAGCCCTCAGTGGAGGTGAGTCCACTGGAGCAGCTGCTAGCGCTGTAGCCAGAGGATGTCAGATAATCCTTTACTGCGATCTCTCTAGGAGCAAAAGACAGAGCCTCTGTCCTCCCCAACTGCCTGAAAATGGTAGATTCACTGACCCACCCACCCACCCACCCTCCACAAAGCAAATGTGTCCTCGGGGATTCCGGAAACCCAGGTCTGAGCCCAGCCCTGCCTCTAACTTGGATCTTGAGCAACGTGGCTCCTGCTCTGGATTTCAGTTTCCTCTGAGACTGAGCAAAGTGAAGAAATTGGATCCGATTATCCTTCAGAGAATCGTCATCTCCCCCAAAAGCTTGTGGTCTCACACTTTTAGGGGAACCATTGCTGTGGAGACTACTTAGCTTATAGCCTAAGGGATGTAACCAAGGGTGGCTTTCTCCACTTCCACCCGCCCCCAGCACCCACACCTCCCCCCCCCAGCACCCCCTGCCCCCCACAGCGTACCTGGTAGCATCTGCACTCAAGGCAGGTGAAAATGCTTCTGAGGTCCTCACTCCTCATCTTGACTTGGGCCTAGGTCAGCTTTCAGAGGAGAAGCCCAGGGACAACTAGGCACGCTCTGCCACTGCTCCTCCTTCCCTTGGACCTGTCCCTGATGTCACAACTGGGTAACTATGACAACCCACCATAGGGACAGCAACGTACCTCACAGAGAAGCCTAGCTGCCTCATTTCTGAAGTGAGACTAGGAGGAGAAGATGAATAATTCCCTGCAGTATCTAGCCTACCCTGTAATTGTCTCTAATCACAGGCAGAGCACAGACTTCGGGAAGAAACTGGACTTCGGCCATTACATATCTCACAAGAATAGGATAGAGATAGGTATGTGGGCAGTTTGGGTTGGACACTGCCATTAGGGGTTCAGGAAGGGTCTGCCTTAGAGATACCGACAGCAAATCAGACCAGCACATGGCTTTGAGGTGATGTGGCCTTATCTGCCGAGTTGGGTCAAAAGGACATTAGCATCAGTGACAAAATTTATCTTCCACCAGGGTTCATTTGATAGATATGCTCATTTAAATTCTTTTTTTTAATTCATTCTTTTTTTTTTTCTTTATTGATTTCAGAGAGGAAGGGAGAGGGAGATAGAAATATCAATGATGAGAGAGAATCATTGATTGGTTGCCTCCTGCACACAACCCAGGCATGTGCCCTTGACCGGAATTGAACCTGGGACCCTTCAGTCCACAGGTCAACCCTCTATCCACTGAGCCAAATTTAGTTAGGGCTAAATTCTTTTTTTGAAATATGTTTTTATTGATTTTTCTAGAGAGAGAGGAAGGGAGAGGGAGAGAGAGAGAGAAACATCGATTGGCTGCCTCCTGCACACCCCCCACTGGGGATCGAGCTCGCAAGCTGGGCATGTGCTCTAACCAGGAATCAAACGGGTGACCTCTTGGTGCATGGGACGACACCCAACCCACTGAGCCACACTGGCCAGGCTCATTTAAATACTTTAAAGCCAAAGTAAGATAGGAAGAGAATAGGACTTCAGCCCTTGATAGACAAACTAGTCCTATTGGGAAAGGATGGGAGAGAAGCGCTTTCATGGAATTCAAAGGACATATGTCTCCATAAATGTTACTTATTACCATCCTGACCTGCTCAAAACTCTTCAAAGATGTCAGTTTGAGAAATTAAACTAAAACTCCTGAACTGGATTAAGGTCAGAATTCAAAATCGTAATGTTTATTAATCAGGGTCATTGTCTAGAACAGTGATGGCGAACCTTTTGAGCGCGGCGTGTCAGCCATAGTAAAACAAAGACTTATATTTTTGATATTTATTTTATATATTTAAATGCCATTTAACAAAGAAAAATCAACCAAAAAAATGAGTTCGCGTGTCACCTCTGACACGGGTGTCATAGGTTCGCCATCACTGGTCTAGAATGTGAGGTTTTCTGAGGCTGCGAAGAGGCCGCCTATGATATAAAATTGCTCTCTTTTATCCTCCAGTGAAACCTGCTGTCGATACCAAACCTCCAGTGACACGCACATATCACATTTTAAAGCTGGGAAAACTGCAGGTATGTGTTCTTGCCATCGGCACATGGACCTTTCTGAGTTTTATCTGTGTCCTAAAGGGGTCCAGTTCCCCAGAATCTTCTAAATACCCACCCAACCACAAGATTCGCGAATGCTCCTCCTCCCCACACACATCACCCCCAGTCTCTCCAGCTCTGCTCCGTCTCCCCGGCGGTCCTCAGTCTGCCCTTTCCCACAATCCCAGAGGAGAGCGATGCCAAGCCACGTGCGCTGCAGCACAAGGTCGCGATGATGTCATCACGCAGGGGTGGGCTTTCTCACCAGGGTGAACAAAAGAGAATCAACAAAATCGAGCATGAAAACAAGCAACTGTGTCAGAAAATTGCGAATGCCCATCGCGGCCCTGCCAAGGTGGACTGCTGGAATGAGTACTTCTCCAAAAGGTAGTGTTTTTTCTCTTCGTGCCATTGTTCAGTTTCAGTGCAAGCTTCTCCCGAGTGGGAGGAATCCTGAGGGGACGTTATCTTGAGGAATAACCAAAGAGATGATGTGAAGGAGAACGAAAACTTCCCAAAATGGGGAACTTCCCCAGCATTGAAGAGCGTTTGTATCAGCTAAGAGACTGATTTCAGAGTCTCGTTCAGAGTCTGTCACGGGAAAGCACTACAGACTTGTGTAAAGTGGTGACCATCGCTGGGACTATGACACAGCATTCTTAAGAATCAGTTCCACAAATATTTCCTGAGCTACTATGTGCTCAGCACTGGGATCCAGAGACCAGATAAGATATATATTTCCTAATCTCAAAGAACTCGGGTCTGATAGGGGCTACAGTCATGTAAATAACAATGCAGTGTGGTCAGGGCTACAAAAGTGTATGTAAGAGAAAGAAGAGTGTGTGTGTGTGTCTGTGGTATGTGTACGCGTGTGCGTGTGCGCGCGCCTTTCTGGGTCATTGTGTATCTGAAATTGACTTGAAAGCTGAGGGAAGTGAGATGAAACAAAACTTGTCACCGGCCATTTGAGATTTATCTATAGGCAAGACCTTCCCTCATCCTAGAAATCAGACATTCTCAATCCTTGCTTCACATGATCCCTTAAGGGCTTTTACAAAATGCCACTTTTTACAAACTGCACCCGAGACCCATCACCTGGAATCTTCGTGAGCAGGGGGTCTGAGAACCGCTGATCTAAGCCGGCCAAGGCTATGCCCATTTCCCAGGGTGCAGCCTGGTTCAGGAGGCACGCGGGGCCTCCGGGCTCAGCAGGGACAGCTTGCTTCATTGCCCCCATTCCCAACCAGGAGGAGAATTTCATTTTTCACCAAGGTTCTGTGTTTTTTTCAGCTTAAACAGAGAAACAAGGAACCGGAACCTGGTGAGAATCACCATTGAAAACCAGGGCATTCTGAAGAGGCTCGATGATCGCAAACCAAACTATGACCGCAGGTCGTCGGAGATGGACTGGCAGGCACGTGGGGGCTCTGGGATGTTCCTGGGGGTGCACAGGGTTTGTCTGTGTTCAGAGCAGAGTCCGTCTCAGGAGGGCCCATTAACCACCGAGGGCAAGATCATGAGAAATGATCGGTAAAAGAAAATAATTGGTAAAAGAAAAACCACCTAGAACAAACCATCCAGGAGCCCAGGACCTCTCCTTGGCAGCAAAGCCAGCATGCATGTTTCAGAAAGATACCTGGTAGCATCTTCCTTCATCCCTCCATTCATTCAGAAAGGCTGAATGTCCAAGCAAAGAGAATGGAGGGTATGTAGTCCAACACGGGGTTAACATGCTTTATTAGAAGTAACCCTTCAAGGAGGGGGAGGGGGCGGCATTGGCGGTATTTTTAAAACCTCCACTCCCTGACTTTAATCTGGAAGCTTTTTCTGGAAGCCATTCTGAAATATTGAATTTTGAAACTTCAACTTTAGAATTTAGAACTTCAACTTTCGCACCCGCGCCCTGGCTTTGACATAACCGTTCTGATTTTTTTTTTTCCTTCAAGAATTCAAGACGTTATATCAGAAATACAACAAAGTATCTTTTCTCCAAAGCTTAATAGGTATGTCTTACCCGGCTGCTCTTTACTATCCAACATGGTGATATTGAACACTTGATACCAAAGCCTTGAGAACGGTAGAGGGGC